TCTGGGAGCCCTCACCTTTTCCCCTTGAGTGCTATCGTTGTGTGAACATACAGTAATGGCTTGGCCTTTTGCTCCCTGTCGTCTGAGCTGAGTCTTACAGCACGAGGGCGTCTCTCCTTCAAAGTCTCGCTCTTCTGTCTTTTATCAGCGGGGCAGGCTCTGTGGACAGACCTCTAGAGACGCTCGGTCCCAGAGGGAGAGAGCGACAACAAAGTGACAATGCTGCAGCATGTTGAACCAATAAGCCAAAGGACCCTGTATCCACCCCGTGCCAGCTGGGAGTGCATGTTTGTGTCGGGGTGTGTGTGTGTGTGCTTACTGATGCGTGTGCCTGTGGTGAAAAGGTAAAAGGAGCTAAGTGAGCATAAGGTTCCTGAAGACTTGAAGGGCGCTGCATATTCTTTGCAGACGTTACAGATTTATAGATTGAATGCAAAATAAGTTTACACTTTTTTATGGATGAAAATCACTGGGTGGTGCATAATTCAGAGATGTACATTTAAAGAAACAGTTTAACATTTTGGGAAATATGCTTACTTGCTGTCTTGCTGAGAGTGTTAGATGAGGGGATCAGTACCACTCTCACATCTGGATTAAAGCTACAGCCAGGACACCATTAGCTTAGTGTAAAGACTCGAAACGGGGAAACAGCAAGACAATCCTACTACCAAAACCTCCAAAGCTCACTAACTAACATCACGAATTTCATTTGTTTAATCTGCACAAAACCATGATGTAAAATTGTCAAGTTGTGGTTTCACACTGATTTAAATGCTTAAACTATTTTTTGGCCAGGCCGGTGACCCCTGGAGTCAGGCTAGCTGTTTGCCCTTGCACCCAGGAAGAGCGCCAGGCTTTGAGGACAATTTGACATACATGGCCAGCCTGTGGAATTACAACTTCCATGTCCGACACATGATGCCACTGGGCCCAAAAATATTTTTCCCCATAGACTTTCATTGTGAAAGAGACGCCTGTAAATCAGTGGATTCATTTTTTGAGCATCACAACCCCTATGTAATGACTCGTGTTAGCATCAGAATTTGGTCCACTTAGTTGGCTAACATTTAATAAATCTATAAAAGCCGGACCATTAAATAATTTAATCCCCATTCAAGTTAGCGGAGGACTGACAATTAGCTGCTCGGCTGGCGGAGTCAAGTAGGACACGCTCCTGGATCAATATCCCACATTGTGTTCCTGGACCAACATTGCAATCAACCAATGACATCATCAGTGTGCTGCACATGCACTTCTTAATTCCTTTGTGCATTTTCTGAACTAGTTCTCCAGATTGAAGTTAGTACAATCAAACAAAATCCTCTAACGCTCATGAGCTACTGCAGGGTTAGCGAGGCTAGCTTGCTAACTAGGTTAGCTGTGAAGATGTGTTAATAGCAGGTATTTGCAACTAAAAAATAATAATATCCTTAATCTTTGTTAGTTAATAGAAATCTAGCCTGTTGGAAAGCTTAGTTGTTAGCAAAGCCTACCTACTTAGCAAGCTAACTCGCTAAAATTCTAGCGTTATAGCAAGTTTCGGCGTTAGCATAGCCTCTCCAGTTAGCAAGCTTAGTTGTTAACCCTGCAGTAGCTTATAAAGATTTTGTTGAGTGTAACTGAGTATTTAGTTTGATTGTACTAACTTCAATTTAGAGGCACAAATAAATTTTGAAAAAAGCGCATGTGCAGCATACTGATGATGTCAGAGGGCTGTAGTTGGTTGATTGCAATGTTGGTCCAGGAACGCAATGTGGGATGTTGACCCAGGGGCTTGTCCTACATGGCAAAATCACATTGTGTCCTGTGTGCCTGCTCTAGGGGCCCAACAATGAGGAAGTAAATTAGAAGATCTTTTAATAGAAGAACTTTTTTGACTTCATGCGCCATTGAAGGACTTTCATTGGCATGAATGGGGCCCCACCTTCAATACTGCATCCAGTTCTCTTAATACATCTATGTTGCTAGCAGTCCTCATGCTGCTAAGCTAAGCTAACAAGCTCCTGGCTCTAGATTCATATTAAGGGCAGGTGCTGTGTGCTGGTGACAACAGATAACATCAGAATATAAAGAAAGGAGAAGATTCATGCACACAAGTCAGCTCAGCTACTTATTTTATCTATAAAGTCTTTTTTAATCAAATAATAGCAAATCGTGCTCTTTTTACACAAAGCTTTGTCAGGTTTGTTGCACTGAGTCTTAAAAAGAACAAAGTGATTTAGTCTGCTTGTGTGTTCTTCTACTCCTGTCTTGATTGCATGCTACAAGATAATTAAAGGGACGTAGAGAGCTCGGCCAAAACTCGGGACATAAACTCATCCCGGCCAGGTTAGGTCTGCAGCATCAGCCACTGATCTAGTCAGATTACATAAAGAGCCACCTTCGCAGGACAGGAAACTCTGACTTTAGACTCAGCATACCTTGCTAACCCACTAATCTCACTTTGCGCTACAGCCATCAGGTCATGATTTCTGGACAGAGACAATGATGTTGAATTTTTTAAACATATTTTTTTGAAGCTTTGAGCACCAAAAGCCGAGTGCCATCTAGTTCCATTATATTCAAGAGAAGGCAGACGTCTCTACGGCTGATATCTCCAACACTCAGGATCTCACATCAAAACAATCTAGACTGATAAATAGCACTGCAGGTAAGAGGAAAAATATGTATTTTTGATTTTGGAGTGAACTGTCCCTTTAAGCCTGCTCTTCAATGGATCATTTTAACATGTAACTGATGTACAGTTAAGTTCATGTAGGAGACACGATGAAGAGTGTGACCTGCTGATATTTAGCCACATTAGATTTGAGTAAGGTGGGGAAGGACGGCAGCACAGCTCACTGAAACACAACAGCAGGTATATATTGCATATTTGACAGAGATGTTGTCATAGAAACGGAGGGAGAAACCATGACTACACCGGCAGTTCCTGCAAGTTCCGATGCCCTTTTTTGACATTCACTAAAGTCAGAGCAAAGAAATTGATTAAGGCATTCGTGAATTACTACCTCTAAAATGGAAAGTGAATTAAAGAGCCACCACAGTCTCCACACCGCTCGGGGAATGTGTATCTACTTTCACTTAATTTCATCATCCTTCTTTGTGGGTCCATTTAAGAATCAAATATTTTCTTATTACTTGTGGGAAGTCAAATGCACACATGCAATCAAACACACACAGGCACAGACACACACAGGATGGCCGACTCTCCTCTTGTTTTCAAGGTTACACCAGAGTTCTTCTGTCGCTCACAACGCATTTGCATCAAACCACCAGCCAACAGCTGCCAATTAACAAACAGCCTCTCCGTTAATACACACACGTCACTGCCAATTAGAGCGTCGGGTGATCTCTCTCTCTAACAACAGAACGGTGTGACACACATACACTCACTCCCAACCACTATACCTCATCCACAGACAAGGCAGAGGAGGAGGCTGGTGGGTGGGTTTAGGGGTACGGTAAACAGCAAACAGCTAATGTTTTAGAAAGGGAGGAATGGATTGGGCGAGAGGGAACCGTGCAGAGTCAAGAGGGAATGGTCTGTGCCAGGAACAAGGCTTTCTGGATTAGCTCGCACAGTTACAGGGGTAGAAATAGTGGTTGGCTAGATGAGGCCTGACAGACCGAACAGACATTCAGATTGCAGTGCGAAATACACACATCATGCAGCGGCACACTTTTATGAGCAGGGAAAAAACACGGAGCAATGCACACACAGACACTGAGCAGCAATATAGGCGGATACATGCAGGTGTTCACACGCAAGTACTGTTAAAGTTTGCTCGCATCTACAGCGTTCCTCTGTTCAACTAAGATGTTGTACGTCCTAATTTAGGTCTAATGTCATAATGAAAGGGAATAAGGTCCTACAAAAACAAATTTTAATAAGCAAAAGGGTGTAGACACATCTGAAATGGAAATTCAGGGACTCAAGCAAGACATTTTGAGCATTTAACACTTGATTTCCAGCATTCTGGTGAATTTTTAAGCATCAATTTATGGAGAAAATGTATTAAATCTGGTGAAAATTAAAGTCCACTGCTGCTCCCATGTCTTAATTGAGAGGGACACATGCACATATTGTCAGTACTGGGGGGGTTGTGTCCCCTGCATTCTCCCCAAAACTCTACAACTACGAACAAATTGTCAGCAGCAGGGTACAAAAGCTTTCACGCAGGAGCAGATTACTGCAGGATGACTTTGCACATGCACGCACATACAAGCAGGCACACAACTAATTCTTCTCACCCTGCTATCTTGTACACACACACATACACACACACACACACGCGCACAGCCACACACAGCATGATAATAATTTCCTTCATGCAGCAGCACAAAATTGAACTATTCATTATTGTCATCCATGAAAGCAGCACAGTGCAGGCATGGTAATGGAAATATATTAATATCCACAGCCACTAGATGGCACCCTCTGCCCTTTCATTTTCAATTTAGTTTCCCATTCCTCAGCTGGTCAGCTGACTCCCTCTGTGGGATGGAGACCAGCTACATGCACTCCAGATCCTCACATGAAGGGCACTTACTTTACAATATCACATTCACTTGGCAAAGAAACAGCACATTGATCGACAGTTATGCATATCAGGAACCTGATCATCTGTTTTGAAGTGTATTCACCTCATCCTCGGGGGTCATGGTGATCGATAGTTGCCATGCTGCTGAAAAGATCCACCACCTACCAGTGTTGCATTTTTCAGAAGCAACACTTTGTCTTGGGTCTTGTAGGAAATGGACTCTCGCGGGCTTCTATCAGCACGAATATATCAATTAGCCAATCAATCGGTACCACTCAGCTTGTGGGAGGTTGGCTGTATCCAGCATGCCCTGAGTCATGCAATCGATACAGTGACCTTCAAGGAAACAAAAGATTTGCGGAATATAATCAGGCGCGCCGAACATCAAAAAGTCAAAGCCATACATCGCGAGTGAGATGGCCTGACATTCTCAGTGCGGTGAAAAATGCACACAGCCACTGACAGCCATGTTTTTATTTGTTATATTTGATACAGTCTGAATGAAATGAGCACAAAGATTGTTTTTGTAGGTGGAGAGTGACTGTTACAACAGGATATATATATGAAAGATGGAGGATATACATGTGTGCTAAAGGAACATTTTTTAAATATGATACAGAATAAATGCAAAAATATGAAAACATTTGGTACAAAAACATCAACAAAATCCTTAGTTATATTGCTGAAGAGTCAGAAGACATAAAGGAAGGCTACGATGTGATTAAATGTAGATTCCTCTGTGCTCAAACATACTTGTTGAGAGGTGTCTGCTGAGGAGAATTGAGACTGCATCTTAGTGCCAGTGACGGTCATTTCTTCTTGCCAGCACTCTTGGCACGTTTGTTGGGCTGCTGGGTGGCAGCAGAGGTGGGGGTTGTTTTTTCTAGAACCGCCTGCTGGGCCTCCTCCAGAGTCTGTTTCTCTTCTTGTTCCTTTTTCACGGCCGCCATCTGACGGCTGCTAAATGCCTCGCAAGCGTCGAGGAATTTCTTGCAGCGCTGCCACAAGGCTGCCTGAAGACGAGACAGAGAGGCAAAGAGAGAGAAGTTACACGATGATGTCTAACCAGAGGGAGAGGAGGCTGACGACAGATCCTGCTCGCTGTCTCTTACTTTGATAGTCGAAACTGATCATTATTGCTGTCTACATCTTCGCTCTCAGACATCACACAGTCCCCATCTCTGTCTTGACTGACCTGCATGTTCTCATACATCTCCAGCTGGTGTCTCATTAGCTCCTTCCTGTTGAGCTCCTGCTGTTTCTGATGCTCCAGCACGTTGTCTCGGACCAAGCGGTAAGTCTGGATCTTTTCTAAGCGCTCCCTCTGCTGGATCTCCTCCATCTGTGAGTCCATTAGCACCGGGAAGTCCTTTCGCCGTCTATGGACGTACACAAGGACTTGATACAATGTGTATGTACACTTTAAAGGCCTAGTGTGTAAGATTTAGGGAGATTTAGTGGCATCTAGTGGTGAAGATTGCAAACTGCAACCAGTTGAAACTTCTCCTGGTTAGAATTCCTTTAGTTTTTATTGTTCAGGAGGTTTTTACTGTGAGTGGAATTATCAGCAGAGGTCTCCTCCTCTCCAAAACAAACAGACCAGGTGATTAAAACTGATAAAAACGCTGAATAAAGCAGTTTCACTTGACAAATTTGTGTTTTTCCAATGATGTTTGGCATGGTGGAGACCGGCTGGTGGCCTAGCACCTGCTCCAGACGCTCAGTTCTTCCTCTCCAAAACAAACAGACCAGGGGTCTCATTTCTAAAACAGCGTGTAGGATCCACACTCTAAGTGTACGTGCGGTCAAAAGCAGATAATGGAGCATGCTAAATAATATCCCAAATCAACTTGGAGCTCTCCGCACGGGGATCGGCCACATATCCCGCCCTCTACACGCCCACATTCAACACCTCACCTCATGAATGCTGATGCACAATAATGAGCCTGCTGATCGATGGCTGTTTACAGTGAATCATGGCGACATTCACATGTCACGGCCATATTTACATGTTTACAGCATCTGCTTCGCACCGTGCCAAAATGATCGGGACAATCTTGGCCTGCATCATGATTCAGACTCATAATGAGGATATGAAGTTTAATAATTCGAGGAGAGCTGTCACTGGATTTATGTCCAGACTTTACTAGGACACTTTACAGTCCATATGTGCAGGTGGTGAGGATGTATGTAAGATGACAGGAGAAGGCGTGTGTGTGTGTGTGGCAGCCAGTGTGCTCTGTGTGCTCACAGTCATGTTCACTGCACTGATTTTACACACAAAAACTATGTGAAAAGTAAAGTCGTGCTTGGTGATATATATTTACAGTATTGGAAGATACTATTACTATTTTGTAACTATTTAATGCAAGCGGTCCATCGCTGTCCACGAGTGACTATAATTGAGTGATTATAATTTTTATAACTGACAGACATTTATGGAAAAGTTACAGCTCACTAGCACAAGCACAAATAAAACATCTGGACTGAGTGTTTATGATAAAGTGAATCAGTAACGTGTGATATGAGGTGAAATTTAATGTGTGATAGGAATCATCATATGCGTAATGATTCCTTTCATATTTCATTTTTACAGTCTGGCTTCAATTCACCATCTCACCATCTGCATTGCCAATTTCCCTTCTCCAAAATGTTCGTACACATGGGTAAGAGTTTTCGTACAAATGCGCACAGCCTCCCGTTAAGTTTAGTTTAACAGGTCACAGCTTTTGCGTGGAAAGTTGTGTACCCCTCTTTCAGGCCTCAATTTGTGCTCATGCAATGGCTCTACATGAAACCCCAGGTGATTAAAACCTGGAAAAACACTGAACAAAGCAGTTAGTGTTACTATCAGTGTTTTTCTAAGGTACTCATCACAGAGGGGCTGTGAACTATACTGGCTGATGCGAAAAATAAAAACCCCATCTAAAGCCCTGTTTCCACCAACACTTTTAGTATGGTACCTTTGGAACCAAAAGTAACTCTTCTGATGTGTTACCTGGGTCTGTTTAGTGTTTCCACCGTAAACAGTACCCTTAAATCTGGGCGGGGTTGTTGTCACTCACTGCTCTGTCAAGCTCTTACTGTATTTCCTCATCTCCGGTGACACAGATGGAAGTCTGCACCTTGTTTATCGTCCACAGAATGAGGCTGCACGCTGACATTTTAAGAACAAAATAGAACAGGCTGCAGTGAGAGTCTCTCTCCATGGGATATTTAAAAATAGTGGGTTTGTGCATTTAGTCCCCTCAGGCAAGCTCAGGGGTTTAGTGTTACTGGAGCCCACAGGAACAAGGCTCCACAACACTTTTTTTTTTTCTCAGAGTGAGGATGAGTGTATATGCAGTTCACATAACCCCACTGAAATTCTTATATATTTTTAAACCCTTGAAGATCCACTCATTACTAAAAATGTATGTCATCCAAGAGAGACTATAAAAACTAATGAAATGGTTGAAGTTGAAATTTAAGGTGTGCTGATGGATTCACATCGTCAGCTCATACATTGAGTAACGTTACAAGTAAACATTCCACCTTAAAAGTTGCCGGCAGTCGGCCCAGTGAATTAAGTTATTTTTTCTCAGACTCCAGCTGCTGAAAGAGGCAGCAAAACAACCTTTAATTTTATAGTTACAGTTTACTAATAAAACTCTCCACAGTATGAACAGTGGTTACATGAGCCTCAAAACCAGTCACAACTCAGCCCTGAGCAGAGCGACCGTCCTCTATTGACCAATCAACAGACTGCAGTGTTCACAGCTCCACCTTTTAGTACCAGATCTGTGTGCTAGGTACCCCAACAGAGGGGGGACCAAAAATGGGGACGGTACGGAACGGTTCCATTGGTACCATCCACAACTTTTCACAGTGGAAACATAAAAAAAGTGTACTGAATTGAACCAAACTGTACTGTTCGGTGGAAATGGGGCTCAAAAAGCTAAGCTGACAAAAACACTACAATTCTTAGTTTTAGGTCATTATACATGAAAGAAAACAAAGTTATTATGTTCCAGTCCTGCCAATATATCCTCCTAAATCTTACACACTGAAACATTAATTCACTGGCACATGCTCCAATGCCTCTAACACCTTCTCAATATTGTCTCTAACCAGAATATTAATGCTGGATAGTTGATTTATTCTAAATAAATGCTCAAGACTTTCTCTGAGAAAAAAAGTGTAGTGCAGTTGCATCTTCCACCAGATTCTAAAGGGATCAGATGTTAAAAAAATATCAGCTCGAGCTATAGAAAATATATCAAATTCTACCAGATTTTACATGCTATTTTGTGAGATGGGACCACTGACAATGTTGCCACAGGCAGGGGGAATAAAAATGGAAATGTGGCTGATAAATGCAGAGATAGGCAGAGGAAATTATGGACACACAGTCCCATGCCTTATCTCATACCCCAAGTCGTATATCCAGATTGATATCTGAGAAGTCTATTTGGTTCTGCTTGTAACCCCCATATTTGGGTATTTCTCTCTAAGGATTGGGATTATAACATAAATGACATTTGTGTGTGTGTGTGTGTGTAAAGAGGAGAGATATAGAATGAGTGAGCAAAGCAGTTAGTCAGTCAACATGTGTCTGACAAAGAGAAATGACTGAGAGTGGCCCTCTGAGGCACACACACAGAGGGAGGAACTCAAAGAGAGAATGTAAGTGCTAAATGTGGCTGCTTATTTCCTATAAGCTGACCTTAATGAAGAGGGGAGGCCAGCGGAGGTGATGAAGGAGTTCATTTGCTTTAATGAACATTGCCCTGCTCAACCTTTTTCACGGCCTCCAACAACGTGTGTGCCAATGTTTTAAAGATGGCACGCATGAGAGAGAGAGAGAGTGTGTGTGTGTGTGTGTGTGTGTGTGTGTGTGTGTGTGTGTGTGTGTGTGAATCTACAACATGCCCTGTGGTGGCGCCTTTGCTAGAAAGAGTTATACTGCAGACTAATCAGACTCCCCTAATAGACTCCTCCTCGGGATCTCTCTCTCGGCTTGGATTGCAGGCCACACTGTCAGCAGCCATTAGCAGCTGGACACGGACACAGGTGCGGTCGCTCACACACACACGCACACACTCCTACACACACATATGCATACACCCACAGCAGGAAAGGACGGAGAGGGGCACATCTCATTGGAGCGACAAGCTCATTGGGGTCCTGAAATAGCTCTCTAATTAACAGACCCAAATATCATCTCATTTATCATGGAGAGGGACGGACAGAGGGAGAGATGGAGGGAGGACAGGAGAGGTGGTGTTAGGGAGAGCAGAGGGAGGCTTGGAGGGAACCGTGAAGGGAGACTCTTCCCCTCAGAGCACTGACACTGACAGAAGTCTGAAGATGACACTTTACATAGACGAGAAGCAAACTCATACAGTCAGTGCTGGTGACACTAACTGTGAATTGATATTAAAGATATTCATGATTTTTCTACTGACAATGCTGAGTACAGCTCTCCATGTCTGTAGGTGACTATGAAGCTCTGGGTGACAGAAGCCAGTCACACTGTGGAGCTGTTCTATTTCCATCTTGTGGCTGTGCAGTGTAAAATGGTGTAGATCGAGTCAGCCATGAAGCAGAGGCACGGAGGGACTGAATAATGTTTAACTGTGCGTGTATGTTGGTGTGTGATTGTACACTTTAGATAAGATCAGAGTTTTAAGACAACATGCACTTGATTTCTGCAGCTCCATGTAGCATAGAGACAGTATAGTAGTAGAGTAGTAGAATATAGAGAGAGTCGGGATGTTGTTGCTTTTTTAGTTTTATATTTTAGTGTGAGTTGATGGTGTGACTCATAACATAAAGCCTAATAAAGACTAGTGTATAATGTGAGAATTGTTCTTGAGGTTATTTATGGAGAACATGTCTACACATTACACAGTATCCATCACTGTCCTCTGGAGTCTATGTGTTGCCCTTTCAGACAAGCCAAAGCATGCAGTCTGGTGACACTGCTGTTCACAGCACCAATGAGAGCAAAGGTCATGAACACAGGAAATCACTTGCAAGAAGTGTAGTGTGCAGTGTACGGATGATGGTGTGTCCTCCAACATTGCAACATGCATACTGATAATATACACACACACACAGTCCCCTAAGCCAAGATTAAATTCTCACACAGCTGGAAAAGCACAGTGATCCAACAACTGCATTATGCAACTGGACTGCAACATACAGAGCTTGGCTGTTTATGTATTTTACTCCATTGCTGCCCTTTAGGCACAGATATGAATGTGTCTGCTGGATCAGGCTGAACCGATGTCTGTTATAGAGACACTACCAGCCACAGTGATATTTCGGTAACGTATAGTGATGTGCCTATATAACTGTGTGAGCACATTATGGTGTGACAGCTACAATCTGCTCTAATCATCATTCTGCCTTTATACTCCTCCTGTCTAATAATTCAAAATCAATGGAAAAAGAGTGAGTGTCAGAGTGACGGAGCACCTGATGAAGGGAGTGTAGTCCATGGGAGGAGGAGAGGCATCAGTCAGCTTTTCATTAGATGCACTGAGAGAGGTGCCAGCTCCAGATCTGGAAGCAGCTGTCAAAGAACCAATCAGATAAGGCCTCATCACAATACTGTATATGAGGAGTGTGAGTAATAGTGTGTATGAGAAGCAGTGGTGGAAAGTAAGTACATTTACTCAAGTACTGCACTTTAGTACAAATTTGAGGTACTTGTACTTTAGTTTTGCATTTCCATTTTTATGATACTTCATACTTGTACTCCACAACATCTCAGAGATTAATATTGTACTGTTTACTCCACTTAATTTGTCTGACAGCTTTCATCATGATTCAGATTATAGTTTCTTATCCAAAAAAAATAAAAAATCATACCTGATAGTAAAACACTGACTGGAAACATTTTACTGTGCTATAAATACTTCACCATTAAGTATTTAAAGTAAATTTAGCTAATAATACTTTTACTTAAGTAAGGTTTTGAGGTTTTAAATGCAGGACCTTTACTTGTATTCAACAGGTATTTCAGGTCTACTTAAATGGTTTAGCACCATCTAGCAGTGAGGTTGCAGAACTGAAACTTCTCTGAAGTGCCAAACGTCTAGGAGAACTATGGTGGCTGACACGAAAACCCAAATGGCTCAATGAAGAGCCATTGTTTGGTTTGTGCGTTCTGGGATACTGTTAAAACATGGCAGTGCAACACAGTGATCTCTGAGGATGAGAACCCACTCCCTACGTAGATATAAACATTCTAAGCTACAGAAATTATTAGACGTAGGTGAATGAAAACATTTTTATGAATATTATTTGAAATTTCTACCAATAGGTGCCTCTAAATCCTTCACACTGGACCTTTAAGCAAAGATTTTGAATGCTTTTTCCATCACTGATAAGTATTGGGAACAGAAAGTGCCCAAATACACATGTGTATGTAAGTGTGTGTGTATCTTGAGTATGGTACCTGGCTCACTTTCTGCATCATCTGTGGCAGTCTGATCACCTGTTGTAGTTTCATCACCTGCTTGCTGTTGGAGTTGGTTCTGAAACTTTAGGCGAGACTGGAAAGCCTAAAAGAAAAGCAAAACGTTCTGTCTGTAGTGTGAAGTATAGAACAGTATTTAAAGAAGATTTTCACTGCTGGAAAGATGGCCTTCTCAGAAAACTGGGCTGCCTGTGCAGTAAAAAGATGCAAACACTTTTAAAATGGTGCTACATGACTACACAAATTTAGGGTCTTTTCACACTCCTTTTCAGCCCTCTAAGCGGACTTAGAGCTATGACTCAGCATTTTTTGCACATATATTAACACTCCAAGAGAACTCAGACCCCCTCTGAAGCGAACCGTACTCAGACCACCTTCTCAGGAGTACTCAGACCACCTCTTGAGGAGGTCCGAGTACGGTTTGCTTCAACTCCATGGTGCGGTTCACTTAAGCTGTGCACTATGAACACAAAGCACTCCAGATTCGTTTTGCTCTTTGCCATTGTATTAAGCCCTCTAGATGACATGCTGTTGCGCTGGGATGCTTGAAAAATCAGAGGAAACCACTTAGGCCTATAACGCTTGCAAGGATGCAGGACGAGGAGTAGTTTGGTCCACGGAAGATACTGCACGTTTCCAGATGTGGAATGTAGAATACATCAAACAGCAATAGTCTACAGTACAGAAACACTTAGGTTTTCCTCCAATTTTAAGTTCATCTGAAAAGTGAGGGGCTTTATTACCACACTGCAGTGCCACGTCAAAGTAGGAAAAAAATATGTAAATATATATTAAATATAGGCTATAGTGTGAACAGAAAAAGGACTGAGGCCCCGTCAGAGCTGAAGTTGATCAGAAAGAGAACTGAGTCCTTTATCTGTTGGTCCACTTTAAGAGGACTGAGTTCAGTTTGTTTCTAAAGGACTACATGTGAAAACACCCTTAATGCAAACTGGTTTCGACTCATCCAAAAACAACATAGCTGCTCACTGGTCACAAACCATCTTGTATTTCAGTTAAACAGAAAGCTAAAATATGTTTATGAAAACATTTTAGGTGAGAAATAGGCAGGTTTTTTTAGCCTCCGTTTTTACAATACAGGAAACAGTATGGTGCCCCCATCCTGTTTACAATGTCTCATATTACAGCCAAACGGTGCACTAAAATATGTTTCTGAGGACATTTTAGGCAGGAACTGGGCAATAGAGTAACAGAATCTTGGTTTATATTTGATCAGCACTGCCTAGTTTTACCATTTGGTCTGAGTTTGACAGAGAAAGGAAGAGGGTGTGTGCTTCTCTCTCAGTCCACTTGTATACTCCGTGTCTGTGGCAGCAGGCGTTCAAAAATGCGTAAGTACAATGTGTAGTTCAGGGAACAACCCAAGAGCAAAAATTCACTGGCAAAATTTTGCTGGCAAAGGAGCAGAGAGATCTGGGTGCTGACATCATGGGGGGAAGTTTACCTCAGTTGATTTACACATACTACCCAAATTGTGACGGTGGTTGAAAATCAGCAAAGTGTCCCTTTCAGCACATTTTCTAAATCAAACCTTCCACATTTCTGCAGGAGATAATAATTTTTGAAAGTGCTTCAGCTGAAAAGTAATTACATTAAATCCCCATTACAATCACAACTGCTGTTTTACCTTGGCACAGCGGCCTGGTTCAGCCATTTCCCAGGCTTTTTTAATGGCTTTAATCTGGTCTATTCTCTCCGTGTCCTTCGTTACCTCCAAGCTCTCGCTTTTGCTCTTGTCACTGACCACACGCAGCGTCCAGTTCGCCTTAGTCAAGTCAAGACTCTGCACAGACACGTACACACACAGCCCACAATAAACACACACGGTGAAGCACAAAACATCCCAGACGAAGGTCACCGTAGCACAATACATTATGAGTATGTCACTTTCAATGAGCCACTCAGACAGCAGTCTGGTACACAGCCAGCCTGGATTATATGTCCTGTTCAGCCGTCTCGTCTTCACTGTAAATAATAGATAATTTTTAGTTAATTTATTCAGAGATCATCACGTCCTCTGCTGCACCTCCACTGACGCTGTGCTGCTGAAATGGAAATTTAGTGATGTAGACCACTTTTCTGAAAAAAATCTGCCTTTCAAATTTCATTGTCTTTGGGGTTTGATGTGTCGCGCAGGCAGAGAATAAAAGCCACTTATTACATGGATCAGAGATTTTCAAGCAGCTGTGTTTCTGACTCCTAAACCAAGACAATCACACTGAGAATTATACAGCAGGAGATTATAGTGTGCGATAAGTATCTCTTATTCACTGCGAATACATGCAGGTCATCCTGGCAGTCGGGGAAGTACAGGTTGTTTTGATGCCAGCCTCTGTTTGTTAGTGTTTCAGAGTCAGCCGACAGCAGTCAATGAAATACGTAAATGCTGACCTGCCTGATGAAACAAATCATAAAAAAAGATGTCAGGATTGAGTTCAACAGCAATCTTATTAAATGTGAATGGGAATCTGTGAAGTGGAGTTAAGTGTGTGCTCAGCTGAAGTGCCTCCGCTCAGAAAGGTTAATATGACTACTGTTGCTAATATTTATTAAGTTTTACATGACAAATACAACTGTACTTTGTTCTAACACTAGTTACTGTGGAAAACGCAAAAATACGCACTTATGTCAAGATTATAAAAGCAAAGCTCGGCCTTTAATTTCAGTGAATGATCTTTATTGCATTTGCCCTTGCTAGGACTCGTTTAATGAATGGTTTTCATATGTAGCAATGGGATATAATTGCCTCTTTCAATCAAATAAAAATCTCCACTCCAATAAAAGCTAATGGAACGCAACAGTTATTTGGAGATGCAATTTGGCAGCTGTGATGAAAACCTTTTAGGGTCGTACCCTCGGCTGCACAGTTACCACCGGTAGGCAGTGAGAAGATTACTTCTGTGTTCATATGACATACATTCATAATATAACATCATGACCAATCTGCAGCTGACATTATGATGGTGTTTTGTTATCTGTGCTGTGGTGAAGTCTCACCGCCTGCCTGGAGCCAGATTTAGAGTTGGCAGCTGGCTTCCCCTTCTCCTTGTCACCTTCCCCTTTGCGGCTGGCTTTGCTTTCAGATTTGTGCCCATGCTGGTCCGGTGTGTCCGTAGTGGGTGAACAGTTCAAGTCCTCAGGCTTGTATACTGCATTTAGCAAACAGAGATAACGCACATCACCATTTACAACATCAGCTGTGTACTTATGTGATAAATACTGTCAACTTGGTGTTAATGATACATCATATACATCATTATGTGATGTAAAAGCATGACTATTGTCACTAAATAAAACATGATCATATGACTTCAGGGTGTCCAAAAAGCAGCCAACAAGACTTCAAATCACATAAGCATGTTCATATCTCCTGTGTTTGAGCTCCCCTTCATTTGGTGCCTGTTGGTTCCAGAATTGATTTTAATTCTTAGTCTTGACATTTAAGGCCCTGCATGGTATGGTACTGAGCTACCTGGCTGAGCTTCTAAATCATTACTCACCGCCCTGCACCCTGAGGTCCTCTGATAAGGCCCTGCTAGCTATTCCCCGGTCAAAGCTGAAGACTACAGGTGACAGGGTGTTTGCTATAAATGCCTTGGGAACAGCTAACCTGAAGAACTTAAACTAAACTGCCTTCTTTTTAATCATCTCTCACGACTCATTTTTACCATCTGACTTTTTCTTGATTATTCTGTTTTCTTTTTGTGCATTTTAATCCACATTTTCTTTGTTTTTATGGCTGTTTTATTGTTGTAGTTGTTTACTGACTGTGAATTTGTATTTGATTGTTTACCTGCTTTCTTAGTGTGTCCGTGTCTGAAGAGCACTTTGTTATATTAGTTTTTATAATTTTTTTAAAAAAACAACAACATTAAAACGTGAACAGTAACGTTTCAACAAAGAAAATAAGTATAATGTCCCCAACCCTGGCAAGAAAAAATGAAAAAATAAATACATTTTAAAGATAAAATAAAACAAAATAAAATTAAATAAAATCTAAATAAATTAAATAGAAATAAATTAAAATTTAAATATAATTAAATAAATAAGTAATTCAAATAATAAAATTATAATAATTTATGCAACTTAAGTTATTATTGTTGAACTAAATATTCTACAGTAAGCAGGTATTTAAAAAAAAAAAAATTCAGCATGCCTCAGTATTCTGAAATTGACATGTCTTTGACAGGCCTACAGTGTGTATACATATATATATATATGTATATATACACAGTATCTCACATTAAGTGAGTACACCCCTCCCATTTTTGCAAATATTTCATTATATCTTTTCATGGGACAACACTATAGAAATGACACTTTGATATAACTTAAAGTAGTCAGTGTACAGCTTGTATAGTAGTATAGATTTACCTTCCTCTGAAAATTACTCAAAACACAGCCATCAACATCTAAACAGCTAGCAACATAAGTGAGTACACCCCACAGTGAACATGTCCAAATTG